TTTTTTAATATTTATTTATTTTTGAGAGAGAGAGAGACAGAGTGTGAGTGGGGGAGGGGCAGAGAGAGAGGAAGAACAGGATCTGAAGCAGGCTCCAGGCTCTGAGCTGTCAGCACAGAGCCCGATGTGGGGCTCCAACTCATGAACCATGAGATCATGACCTGAGCTGAAATTGGACACTTAACCGACTGAGCCACCCAGGCACCCCTCCAATCTTCTTTCCTTAGATCAGCTGGGATCTCAAGCCCATCTGCTTCTGATCACTACTTTACCCATACCTCTTAGTTTTCATCACTATTTTATTTAATGTCAGGACCAGTTTATTCTGATGGCTCAGCTTGGTTGACCTCTTTTGAGCTGCTGATTTGTCCCATTATTTTTCTTTGGTTGTCAGTTTATGTGTTCTTACTGGCCCTTCATAGTTTAGGGGGACAACTACTGTTCATCTGCCTGTGTGTAGTATATGGAAGCTCAAGCCTTTCATTCATTGGACAATAATATTTGCCATTCCAAAACAAGTATTTAGGCTTGCATGGATCCCTTAGAATTCTAGGTGTACAGCTGGGATGTCTTCTGGGGGTAGGGATGTCATGGTATCTTGTATCTGATGTCTGCAAGATCAAGGATATTGCTACATTACATCATGTTCAGTGGCTGCATCTAATAGCAGGGAGAAGAGAGTTCTGATGGTCAGATCTCACTGCAGGGTCTTCTAGGCCACATCTTCCCTGGAAGAATGTACTCTGTGGCAGATCTGGATGCAGTTTTGTGCACAGTCACCCCCAAGCAGCAACACCTCCAAGGATCTGGATCAGAACTGGGTTGCCATTTGCCTCCTTTCATCCCTGAATCACCATCTGGTTATTCTCTTGGCTCTTGGACAGAAGGACTAATTATACTTTCCCATTTTTCAGAAAATTTATCTTTAGAATAATTATTTTTTTGATGTTACTATTTTTTTCAGTTTTTGTTATGAAATATAGCATAAATGCCAAAGAGTATATATAGTGAATACATATGGTTTCAGGATCAATCATAAAACAAATGGCCATGTACCTACCACCTAACTTAAGAAATCTCTTCTAAGCAAGGCTGTTATGTGATTCTAAGCTGATTCTCATCCCTTTCCTAAAGTCATGGGTCTGAGGTGGGTAGTATCTGTGGCCCTAGTGACTCAACAGGAGTTTTCTAACACTTCTTTCTGAAAAAAGAGAGAAAAGTGTCCAGAGGGTGCCCTGAGTTGTTTAAAAACATGGGGCGCCTGGGTGGCTCAGTCGGTTGAGCATCCGACTTCAGCTCAGGTCACGATCTCGCGGTCCGCGAGTTCGAGACCCGCGTCGGGCTATGGGCTGATGGCTCAGAGCCTGGAGCCTGCTTCCGATTCTGTGTCTCCCTCTCTCTCTGCCCCTCCCCCATTCATGCTGTGTCTCTCTCTGTCTCAAAAATAAATAAACGTTAAAAAAAAAATTTAAAAAAAAAAACAGAAGCCCAGATGATTTTGCTTTGTGGTTGGTATGTCTGTGTAGGTCACTACTGGTTTCTCCTCAAAGGCATTCCCTGGCCCATTGCTAACCCACATGGTACCTTTGTGTGAATAAGAAGAAATCACTTCTGCCATTTACTAGAAATTCTCTTTAATACCTATCTGCACAAAAATCTATAATGATTATGAATGTGACTAGCACCTCTAGAGCTTATAGGACACAACCATAATTCATGGTAAAAGTAGTAGGTGGCCATAGAGCTGTTCATGTGGGCATCATCAGGCATTTACTCAATGCCTACAATGTGCCAAGTGTTCTTTTAGTTGCTTGGCATTCAATGCTGAGATGGATGGGATTCCTGCTCTCATAGATCCCCCATGACTGGACTGGTGAGCAAGCTGTTTTTTGGGTGCATGAACTGGGAGTCAGCTAACAAGCTTGGGTCATTCTTGTGTTGGGTCAGGTCCCTGTGGTTACTAGCAGAAGTGGGTTAATTTAATTTCATTTATTTAGCATGTTATCTATGCCACCTCAACCCTGAGAGGTTATGCTGTACCAAAGTGATGAGTTCAGAGCTTAAGTCCAGAGTGACCATATTCCCTGGTTTGCCCTGGGTACTGGGTAAAGTCTCTTGTCCCAAGTAATTATTAACATCACACCTCTCTCTCTTAAAGGTCCAGCTTAGGACAATAAATTACATGGTCATGTGTATGAGTCAACTGTTTTTGCCGTGGTAACAAACTCCTTCAAAATATTAGGAACTTAAAACATCAACTAGGGTTTGCTCATGGATTTGTGGATCAGCTGCAGCTCTTCCCCAGTCTGTGGATAAGGTTTAAGCTTGCTTCTCATTCTGGACTTTGGCCTGTGCCACAAGTCTTCCCGTGATAGTAACTAATTTGAAAGACTGGGCTTTATTTAAGATTTCTTCTCCTGGCAGAAGGTGGGAGCCAAGAGTCTTCTGGTCAGAGCTGGCATGGGCCATATCTCCTTGGATTTTATTGACTAGAGCAAGTCACATGGACAAAATCAACATCAGGGGATTGGGATTTATGCTCTTTCCTTGGTATGGGGGCACTGTGGGGGGAGAGAGTGAATATTTGGTGAATAACAAAAGAATTATCACATTACACTCCTAAACCTACTGCTTCCCAGTGTGTCCCAACCCCAGCCTTTGCTGGTGTTTTCTAGCAGTGTCTGTGTTAGGAAAGTGCCACAGGACATAGGAGTTTTACCTCCATTTGGAGTACAGAATGTATTAAGGGATTTCACTATGGTATGGAGCCTGTTTTGTTTTTGTGTTTTATTGGACTAGGTGGGAGTTGATGTTTGCTGTGGCCACCTGATTAATGAGGATAAAGTCTCCTCCTTTCTGTGTCCTGAGCACTACTACCTATCCTAGGAGTTTGCACAGATGAATTTCCCATACTCCTGTATGAGCTGATGGAACCCAGTGGAGCCTGTGGCCATACCACGCTCTCTTCCTACCTCATGTTGGGGCTCCATGAGGTGTGATTTCTGGTGCCCTTTACTCTGCCCCCACTGACTCTACTCCCTGTCCTCATCCTTGCCCTTGTTTCTCTGCACCTGGGAGTTTTAATTTTTATTGTTTCCTTAGTGTCCCTTCATTTGCTTGTGTTAAATGTTCAATACTAATTGGATTTTCCTTTAAAACAATTCTAGAAACCTCTCAATGTTATACTGGTTCACTGATGGATTGATGGAAGTCATCCTTGTTTCACATTGTTGTATAGTTTGCTAATCCCCTTTCAGTGGGACTTGAGGAGAGAAAGGTGGCAGATTTGAGCTCACTTACCCATGTGAAACTGGAGCCCCAGTGTTGTCGAGCAGAGACAGAATATTATTTCACTGAAAAGGCAGAGATTGATGGGGAGGCGTAGAGGAGATACATTAGCTCCATCACCAGTCCTAGCAGCTGGCTTTCTCTCAAGAGCCATTTTTCATGAGGAAACTGCTTTATCATTTCATAAGAATGATCAAGTACCTTCAGAGTCATGTTGAAAAGCACACAGATGGTGGGTGGTCAGCGTGACTCAGTAGGTAAGTGACCTGCAGTAGGAGCTCACATGCCTCAGCAGAAATGTCAGTTGTCTCATGTCATGGATTATCGGTATGCTGTGGATAATTAATATTGGAAAATTAACTTATTCCTAATTTTCTTCTTCATGAGAATATGAGTCTATGAGGAAGGTATGGGATGTGCCTTTCATGTTCCCCATTGTACTCTCTCCAAAACCTAGCCCAGTACCTGGCATGTAATGGACATTCAGAAAACTTTGGCTGAAGCAATGCAAATACTGATGATGGACAGTAAAGGCAAAGCCTGGGAGAATCCTTGGAGCTCCTGCGTGTGATGGAGTGCAGTAAGGGCAGGTGGGAGTGTCCTTTAAAGTAGGGCTTACAGCCACCCAGGAATGAATTCAGGTTGATGCCTTAGCCTCCCTGGGTCTACTGTAGCGTGGAGTGGAAGCCTGGAGGGAGTTGGGCTTTGTTCTGGGCGTTAAGGGCACAGCCACTGCACTGCCACGGACCCTAGCTGAGGCCATACAGTCCGGGCCTCAGATGCCGTGGTTGCCTTGCCATATTTGCTCATTCTCACCACTTCAGCACATGCCCGCTTACCTCCAAAGGCCAACCCCTGCATTTATTTGAATGTTCGATTTTTCTGGCCACTGAAGCTTACTTTGCCACTCGTGCTGCAGGTGGGAAATGCCCCTTGAGAGCTGCCCTCCAATCCATGACTGAAGGGAGCTGACATTATAAATAGCCCAGCCCCTTGCCCCTTGGGTAACTGGCTTGGTAAAGCCCACTTCGCTGGCTGCCTTCCCTGGATTACTTCCTTACTCACCTACCTGTGTTTTCTTCCCCTTCTGAATAAACCACCTGCCCTTGAATACTTGTCTCAGGATCTGCTACTGGGGAAACCCAAACTACGGTGGTCAGCACTGGGTCCTAGGTACCTGGCCACTGGATGGGGGTATTCTTGAGGCTTCAGAGGACTTGAGCTTCATTTTGCTGAGACCCTTAAAAGTCAATGTCAAAAAGAGAAAGAAAGCACTCTAGTTTCTCTTGTATTAGAAAGTTGTTACTTAAACAATTCCCAAATTTCATTATACAGCTCTCTGAAATGATCGCATAATTTTTAAGGACAGTTGAAACTGCCCTGCTCACAAAGCCTCAATGATTTGTATTGCTGTGGTGTAGGGTCTCAGTTGACTTGGAGGGCATTCCTAGTCCCCCTGAATATACCCCGTCTCTTGCTAGAGCACACTGTTCATTGTTTTGAATCATGGCCTGCATGTCACTTTCTCTGTGCTGTGTCTGAGTCTCACCATCCCTGCGCCAGAATCAGGTGACCCGGCAGCATCCCTGGCCTATCTCCTGCAGCCAGCTCCTGAGGGATGAATGGATTAAAGGGTCATTCTGCCTGCACTGTGCAATGGATGGGCACAGGACGAGCAATCACACTGACCTTTGATCTTTGCTTCTTTGCAGATATCTCAGTGAGCCTGCTGACCCTTGTGGTCACTGCCTGTGGCCTCGCGCTTTTTGGCGTGTCTCTCTTCGTGTCTTGGAAACTCTGCTGGGTTCCATGGCGAGAACGAGGCCTGCTCTCTGGTAGCAAAGACGACAATCGGGAACCTCTTAACTACACGGACACAGAGACCAATGAGCAGGAGAACAGTGAGGGCTTCCTAGACCCTCCCACCCCCTGCCCTGACTCTTCCATGAAGATCAGCCACACCTCCCCTGACATTCCCCTCTCGACCCAAGCGGGGGGCCAGGAGAACTGTGCCCATGGCGTCCGTGTACAGCGCCAAGTCACAGAGCCAACCTCGTCGGCCCGGTCAGTAATGCCCCCTTCCTTTCTGACTGCAAGGCAAGGACCACCTCGTTCCCCTCTATTGGCAGCAGTAGTGTTGGTTAGCCAAGGATCCTGTAACCGAAATTTCACATGTCCATTCAGTTTCAGAGATGCGAATATGGGAAAATGTGGTGCTTCCTATGCTCCAGTGAGGCTCCTTACTTCTCTTGAGTTCCCTGTGTAGGGTCCACAATAATAATAGTCCATAATAATAATAGTTACATTGCCAAGATTAACCATGACAAGTACTAAGAACTTTATGCATTGTTTTATTATAGTTCACAACTTCGCATGAGATGCAAAAGTTATTTTCATTTTGCAGAAGAAGAAACTTAAGTCAAAGAGTTTAAGTAAAAACATCATAGATTGGTATGCATTCAGGGTTTGGACCCTGATTCAACCAACACCAGAGCCTGAGACCTCTTAACCACTCTTTCCACTATCCTCCTAGTGCTATTGGACTTATTCTCTGTGCCTCTGACCTAGCCGAGCTGTCACACAGACTGTCTTTGTAGTCCACAAAGTGGCTGGAGGTCTTTGTCCATCTTCAGCCTTTGTAAGGCCTAGAGTACCCAGGCCTCGGGTCACTTTCTTTCTGTGGGCTGCATGCTCCGCTTTAAGCAGTAGAGAAATCATGTAGTGCAGTGATAAAAACCCAGGGCTCTGGGGTCAAGTGAACTGGCTTTACTTACATGTATGACACACTGGACACATTACTTAACCTCCATATGTTTCCATTTCCTCTTCTGTGAGAGAGAAATAGTGATAATACCAACATATAGGTGCTTTTAAGAATGAAGCAATAACGTGCACACCCTGTGCTTTACATAGGCGGCACCTGGTAAGTACTCCAAAACGTGAACGGCCATTTTGATTTCCGTGTTGTTTTTGTCGTGATCATTCCCCTGTGACTGGCCTCTTCCAGGACTCAGATGTTGCATAAACATGCCTTTCATGTTAAACAGACAATTCTCAATCCCCGGATATCAAAATTCACTTTCGACAGGAGTTTTCAGGATAAGAGATACAGGAAGTAGCTTTTTTAAAATGAAAATATTTGGTTGAGCAATAGCAGAGGAATAGCATGTGCTGTTATTTGGAGAGTGCGAGCACAGTTTGGGGGCATTTTTTAAAAATCTTTTTTATTTGTTCTCTAGAAACGGAAGTAAGATTTTACCCTTTTTTATGTTAATCGAGTTTATCCTAGAGACTCTGCTCATTCACATTAAGTGGGATGGAATATGACAGTTTATAATTTAATTTTTCCACAAACCTATTTTAGCATCATTTCCAATTCTGAATCAAAGAGCTAAACCTAAAATATTCCTCTGTGAGGAAATGGATGGTTGTTTGCCATTTGATTTAGAAGAACTCCTCAGATTTTATCACTAGGATTTCTCTTTAGATATGACTTAAATATAGCTGGAGCTCTGTTTGATGCTGTCATGGCGTTCATGCAGTGGTGTAGACTCGTAATAAAATCCCTTCACTATTTCAATAACTGGAGTCTTTCAGATGGAGTATCCATTGAAATTGTTTTCTATTCGGTTTTACTCTGAATGTTAATTTTTCTGACCTAGGTCCCATCAATACAAGGTGATAGTACTGTGCTTTTATTAGATTATGGATCTGAGGACTCTGCCATGATTCTAATGAATTGATAGCAATCATATCACTATAATTATCACAGTATTTATTCTAGGAAAATATATAAGTACTCTACTTATCAAGAAATGTATTTCATTTAAGAATAAAACCTGTAGGGGTACCTGGGTGGCTCAGTTGGTTGAGCATCCGACCCTTGATTTCAGCTCAGGTCGTGATCTCATGGTTTGTGAGTTCGAGCCTTGCATCGGGCTCTGTGGTGACAGTGGAGCCTGCTTGGGACTCTTTCTCTCTCTGCTCCCCACCCCCAAAATAATTAAATAAACTTTAAAAAAAAACTTTAAAAAAGAAAGAATGAAAATTGTAGTATCTTCACCACTGATTTATGGAAATTGGGTAGAAGGGGAAAAAAAGAAGAAAGCGAAGGAATTATTTCTATAAAATGAATTTCCATTTAGATTTATTTTAGTTTGAGAGTCATGTAATTATCTTTCTGATGGGCAAAATCAAGTTTAGTAATATCTGATCTACCGTAAGAAAACTAAACTCTTTCCAGCTGTGTTGATCTAATACTGATAATTTGTATCATTGTGCATTTAAAACATTCTTACCTAAATTACTACTGACCTAGTTTTATGGGTTATGTCGGGAAATACATATGTATTAGTTATGGTCTTATCATAATGAGTGGTATGTGGTCTTCTCATTCTTTAGGAATTGTGTTATTTATAAACACACACAAAACATTTTTACTGACAAAATGAGAGAAATGATTGAAATTTCCTTCACGTTCCAAAATTTTTAACATTCTTTTTAAATTTTTTTTTTCAACGTTTTTATTTATTTTTGGGACAGAGAGAGACAGAGCATGAATGGGGGAGGGGCAGAGAGGGAGGGAGACACAGAATCGGAAACAGGCTCCAGGCTCGGAGCCACCAGCCCAGAGCCCGACGCGGGGCTCGAACTCACGGACCGCGAGATCGTGACCTGGCTGAAGTCGGACGCTTAACCGACTGCGCCACCCAGGCGCCCCAACATTCTTTTTAAGTAACGTTCTCGATACTGATTTGGGGAGGGAGAAGGTACTGTGCTGAGATGGCTCTAAACAGTCTGCTCTGCTAGTTCTTATTTCTTCCTTTGTTTCTTATAATGCTCCTACTTCCTCACTGTAATCACTTTCCTTCTTACTGCTTCCTTCCTGCAGCTGTCTGGGGACTTGTCCCCAGAGTCCCAGGACAGCTCCTTTACCCAGAGCACATAAGCCTTAGGCTCCCAGTTAAGGGCATCCCCACTGTCCCTGCAGTCCATCAGCATAGCTTCTGTCACAGCACTGACATTGGAAAGCTCACCCTCTCCTGGCCTCTTGATCATGAATATGTGCAGCTCCCACCAATGTCTATGGAATGCCCTAAAGATGAGTTTTGTCTTCTCAGAAGGTTTCTAGTCAGGACGACTTCCTGTTGTTTCCCACGATCAAGCACATTAACATTCTGTTTCTAGCTAGCTCAGTTACTATTAGAACCCTCCAAAGTCCCTGTTATTTGTTTTCAGAATGCTTCAATACCAGAACATTTTAAATATCTCTATTCCAAATATATAAAAATCCCTAGGTCCTCAAAATAGAAGGAGCCTTTGCAAGGCATCTAATGCATTTCCTGATTCACATCCCAAGATGAAAGTCCAACCTGTTTTATTAAGTCGTCTCAAACTTCTTATATAACACTTTGGTTTTATATAAATTTCAATTACCACACTGCCATCTCTTTATCAGGCCTGTTAGAACCTGTGTGTTATCGCCACAGTCTACTTCTGTCAGCTCCCCACCTCAGCACCATGCAGCACTGCCCCAGAGGACAAGAACTCACTAGGAAGCTTTACCTGGAAAAGCTCATCATGTTCCAGCTACACTAGCCTCTCTCTCCATGCCTTCAGTATCCCCTGCCTTTTCCTGCCTTGAGGCCTTCACAAACAAGCTGTTCCCTCAGCCTGGAGTGCTTTTCTTTTTCCCCTCCATCTCCTTTGCAGCTTTAATGTCCCACCTAAAGCATCACCTCCTCAGAAAGGCCTCCCCACCATCCTCTCTGAAGTATGTACTCTTTCCTCCACTCCCTCCCACTCTGCATTCTCTCATATGTCGCCTTGCCTGCATTTCTTCACAGGATCAAACTCTCTTTCTAACTAAATGATTATTTGTTTGCTTGTTGCCTGTACCCCTTCTCTAATCTAGGAGTTCTGTGAACTCAAAAACTATAGCCGCTGTTTTTCCCTATATATCTAACACCTAGTGCAGCCCCTGGCATAGAGCAGACTTTTTCTTTTTTCTTTTTTTAATGTTTATTTTTGAGAGAGAGACAGAGAGACAGAGCATGAGGGGGGGAGGGGCAGAGAGAGAGGGAAACAGAATCTGAAAAAGGCTCCAGGCTCAGAGCTGTCAGCACAGAGCCCAACGTGGGGCTCAAACTCATGAACCGTGGGATCATGACCTGAGCCAAAGTCAGATGCTTTACCGACTGAGCCATCCAGGCGCCCCTACAGCAGACTTTTTCCATGAATAGCTGACAGAATACCTTCATCAGTATCCAGCCACTTTTATCATGTTCCACTGACAAGAATGGCAAAAGGCCAGAAGTATAAACCAAAGAAGGGCCTATATGGGATGAGGCCAGTGGAAGGCCTTTTGTCCCAAGTCTTACCTGACTTCAGAGCCTTACACTTAGGCTTTTGGCCTTATCTCCAAACTAAGCAAGCCACAGACTCACAGAAATATACTGACAGAGTTGAAAGAAGGTGACAAATATTGAAATTTATTTATTTATTTATTTATTTATAGTGTTTATTTATTTTTGAGAGAGGGACAGACAGAGTGAGAGCAGGGAAAGATCAGGGAGAGAGGGAGACACAGAATCTGAAGCAGGCTCCAGGCTCTGAGCTGTCAGCACAGACACTGAGGTCGGGCTCAAACCCAGGAATTGTGAGATCATGACCTGAGCCAAAGTCGGATGCTTAACTGACTGAGCCACCCAGGCACCTCGGCAATTATTGAACTTTAGATTCGGGTCCCATCACTGGCCACAACTCCAGTAAGTGGTATGCTGAGACTAAATGTTGTAATTACTCTATGAGGACCACAGTTCTATTAAGGTATGTTTGTGTGTGTGTGTTGAAAACATTTTTTAGATGTGAACATTTAAAACACAACAGTGTTTTGGATGAGTCTTAGATATTTCTCCAAATTTTAATAAACTGACAGCTTGGAAAATGGAAGTTGCTTAGACTTCTCTCAACTCCCATGAGGTTCTCAAACTAGATATAAATGTGTATTTTCTCTACTGGGGTTTAATTATTAGAAATTGTTATTTCCTTGGCATTCATCTATT